TTATCTTAAAGACACACCCACAAAAACCATCAGGCAATCTTCAGTCGGAAAACACAAAGGCTTTGTCAGATATTTGATTCCTATATGCACTACAGTTGGCTTTTTAAAAAAAATGCAGACATTATTGCTTTATAGCAGGGGCCCTCAAAACTTTTTAAACGGGGCCGATTCACGGTCCCTCAGACTGTTTGGGGGGGGCGGACCGGCTGGGTGGGTGTGGCTAGGTGGTCATGTGACTGGGTGGGCATGGCCAATTTAGCAGTCCATTTTGCCTTTGTCCTTGCTGTACTTGCCCCTCCCTTACTCGCCCACCGCCCTGGATCATAAGGCTGTGAAAAACATCCTGAAAGATTGTTTTTAAAGCATTTCCAAAGACGTTTAAAGCACTACTTTACAAGCTGGCAGCACAGCTGCTTTTCAAGCCAGCAGCCCCTCCCCTACTCATCCACCGGTCCTGGATCACGTGGCTGCACTGGTGAGATCACCCCTCTATCAGCTGGTCCTCCCCAGCATCCTTCAGCAGCAGTGGTGTGATCAGAAGTGCAGCTCAACCGGTGAAGTAACTAACCAGAACTGCAGCTGGAGTGGATGCTCGCTGGAAGTTAAGGCCGATGGTGAGGGGCGGGGTGGAATCCCACCCCTCTGCGGGCTAAATACTTTGCACTGGTGGGCCGTATCCGGCCCACGGGCCGTAGTTTGAGGATCGATGCTTTACAGGAAAATTAACTGTTCGATCTCTGATCACCATTTAATTTGAATTTCAAATTGTTGAGAAAATTGATGGGCCTACTGGATACAAGCAGTTATAAACATGGAATTTTGACTGGAAATAAATCTCACTAAATTCAGTCAGACTTGAAGGAAAATAAGCATATTTAACATTGTGGTCTGAATCTTGTTCTATTCATTTCTTTTTTAATTTAACGAACAGAGAGAAAAAAAGGCAGAGACAGCAACAAAAACAAATCATGTCTCCCAATGCATTATAACTTGTTGAATATATCTGTTGCCTCATTAAATATATGGTTGAACTTACTTGCTCCATTAAGCCAAGGAAATTGAAAGCATAAGTCCCATTGAAATCAACAGAAGAAGAAAAATCTTATGAATATCTTTCATTAATTTCACTTTGAGTTTAGGTGATTAATGTATTTTGAACAATGGTTTAAGAGCAGTTCTGCTTATTTTGGAAATAGGATTGGAATAGCTATTTATAATGGACTTGCATTGGTTTTATCACAGCAATAGCATCATCTATCCAACCTGGCCATCCTAATAATGGAGCCATACTTAGTACATAGATAGGAACTCACCAGATAGATTATAAAGTACTGAGAAACTAAATATATATCTTGAAAGAAGGTAAACTAATTCTGTCTTACTGCCAAGAAAACACTGAGCTAAGTGATAGAATCATGATGTAACTCTTGTACTGCAATAATATTCAATTGACTTTATAATTTTTAAAAAAATATTTATAGTTGTTAATGGCATGCAGCAGGTCCAATTATGCACTGGAGGAGAAATGTTCTATGCTGCATTCCTAAACACACTTATCTCTATAGCATATCATTCAATTTCTTTGTACAACTTCTTTCTCGGCAAGAGCATCTGAAAACCAGATCCGCTGGCAATCCACTGTTTTCCTCAAATGTTTAAATGGATATGGGCACCCCACATTCACAATTTGAAAATTTTACATCACCTACAATAGGCATTTGGTTTCAAAATAAAATATTGCATGCCAATAAATGTAAAGTACATTTCCATTTAAAACAACAGGTCCAGAAAAATGAAAGTACAAAAAAAACCCTTTTACTCTGTTTTCCTATTTCCATCAAATTCTGGCCTTCCAGGAGTTGTTATTAGGTAAAATTTATGCAAACAAAAGAGTCTGGTAATCCAGCCCACACCCTCATTTCCTTCAGCTTCTGTGTTCTCAAACCCCCATGGTTCATAGCCTATTCCTGCACCACAGATATTAAGGCAAAGCTTGCAATAATTCTGTATTTCTAAAGACAACTCCTTATCAGAGTCCCTAAAACTCAGCTGTAAAGAGGGGGAAAGGATAAATGACAGTGAAATTGCTTCCTGCTTTAAGATGACGAACCCAGGGTGACTTACCTCCTAGACACATTCATTTCTTTCTTGATGGCTCTTCAGCCTCAAAGCCAAGGGCCTATTAATCGGTGAAACTGGTAGCAAAAAAAAGCTGTTTTGTGCAACTAAACAGGATTAAATGCAGGGAAATGCCATGGATCTGTGGCCAGTCATGATCGTACTCGTCTTCTCTTTCCTTACTGGCTATTCAGTCTTTATAAACAGAAGCCGCTAAATCTATCCTTTTCCAAAAGTGGAATAGTGGAAAAAGTCCTCCCTACTTATATCGTGTGTTTCTTCAAAAGGAACAGGAGGGTGGGGAATGATGGGGGCAGAATAAGGGAGGCAAGCTTGACTACATCAGACACCATTCTGTTTCAAAACTTAACAAAAAGATATTTGGAATACTGTTTTTTTTTTCATTTTGCCAACACAAGCATTTGCATTTCTAGATATGAAAAAGCAAATCATTCCTGTTTATCTCAAGAACTCCTAGAGGAAGTCCTAGGTGCGGGGTTTCCATCCCATAAATCACTTCAAGTTAGTTTTAAATGAATACCCAGCAAGGACACCAAGAATACACTTCACCCTCACTTTTGGGATTTCTTCACCAGTGTTGCATCTGGATGAAAGAAAATATATGCACCCTAGAATATAAAGATAGCATCACAACCTAAATCTCCAATATTATTTCTTCCTGCGCTGTTATGTGAACTCTGAAGTCTGATAGCATCTTTTCCAACTCAACAGATTTTATTAAATATATGCTTGTGGTTTTTAATGATTGTTAGTCAGAAATGATACTATTGGTACCATATTCCTGACATTTTACCACCATCAATCAATGTTACTCTCCTCCTAAACTGGAAATAGGCACATTTTAAAGTGAGGTGAGTTCTAGCCCCACTTTAGGCACAAAACCAGCTGGGTGATCTTGGGCCAATCCCTTCATCCCCAGGGAGGAGGCAATAGCAAACTATTTCTGAAAAATCCTAGGGTCTCCTGCTTGGGCAGGGGTTGGACTAGATAACCTGCAAAGTCCCTTCCAACTCTGTTAATCTGTTAATGCACCTTGCCGAGAAAACTGCAGGGGCTTGTCTAGGCAGTCTCCAAGAATCAGGCATAGTTGAATGGAAGAGACACATATAAAGACAATGCAAATTGTAATATAACTATGTACATATTGAGCTGGGTGCCGCGGTTGGAACAGGCTTTAGGAGTCTAAAGTGTAAAAAAATTGTAAAAAAATAATAGTGTAAAAAATTGCCTAGCCCTGACTATTTTCCACCATTGCTAATATTTATTAGCAATATTCATTGCTAACATAGTTCATCCATTGCGATATTTCCAGAAAGAAAAATGAATCTTTATTTTGGATTTTTTTTTCCTGATAGAAATAGTGTGTTTGTTCCTTTCCAAATGAACTGCGTGTTATTTCCTTTATCATATATTGGAAGAGGACACATTTGTTTTTATAATCAAACTCTGTATTTCTTAGCTGGTATTCTGTTGGGGCCCCTAGTCACAGTCATGGCAACGCTTTAGAAGTTGACAAGAAACATATTTTTAAAGACAGAGTAGTTCCCTGCAGCTCCCTGCCCCCGCCCCCTTTGTCAATGGGCCATTAAGATGCCCAAGCCAGTCCCTTTACATAATAAAGAGTTCTCCCCTTCAGCTCCAGGGTGATGGGATTAAGGCATGATTAGCCTTTACCCACTCACCACATGGCATCTGAGAAATCAACCAAACCTGGATTCAAAACACAGCCTAGAGAGTTGCCCCTGCATGGCCCCATGGGAGTCTGACAACCAATCAGAATACATTTCTTACACAGGAACAGGAATCAGAGAGGTGGGGCTGAATAGATGATGAAAAGCCCAGCAAGCCCCTTCCTCCACCTTTCTTCGTCACCCAACATTGAAGCATGTGATCACCTTTTCTGTTCAGGACACAAGCCATGTGGTCCTGTCCACCATTAGACCATCTTTCCAAGCAGCTTCCATGTCCCAAGTGTCTTTTTCCCCCACTTGGAGCCGAACCCAGAAGGACATTTCTTTCAACACACTAACACTGCAATCAGAACAAAAACAGAAGTTTAGGCTTGGGTGATGTTCAAAACAAATTTAACGCTGGTGCAGAGGATATTTGATTTGACACTTTCTAGAGAAAATGTTGTTTCAATTTAAGGTGTTAGCCAGCCATGAAAAATTTCATCAGAGTAACCAGTGTTTCTGCACCTCTTTGTTGACAAGAGGAGTCATTCTGAGGGCAGTTAAGAAGTGTTGGGAGGTGACTCCAAAACGAAGCATGAAAGTTATCTAGGCATAGGCACTGATTGCTCCTAATGGCCATATATGTGCTACAACATAATGCATCCCAACTTCAATTATTCAGAATGAGATATTGCTCTCCCATTCTAGTCTATGATGAAAACAGAAACAAAGCTAAAATATGGGCTTAAAAAAGACATTAAGCTAAAAAATGGGCTGCACTTATGATTCAAAACCCTCCTCCTTCCCCAGCCCCTGCAGAAGCACTGCAGCAACCTAAATTTTGTGAAGCCAACGCTTAGAATTAAAAGGTGCAGTAATTAACCTTATAATAGAAGGCCAGATCATAGAGTTAAGCAAGGCAAGTTCCCTCCCTGCTGCCCAACTCTATGGTCTTCCGAGTGGTAAGAATTTTGAGCGTCGCTCGGGTAGGAAAGAAGGCCAATGGCAAAAAAACACAAAAGACTACAAGCTCCACGTCACACGAAAGCAGGATAAAGGAGGGGCGGACACTCATTTTTCTCTAATTGGTCAATAGGCTGTGACGTTATTTAAATCAACCAATGACACGGGAGAAACTGGTTAGAGAAGTGGGCCGAGTGGCCGTTTCAAATGGAATCGCGCGGTTAATTCCGAGGAGGAGAATGGAGTCTTCCTTTGACCCCGTTCTGAGGTGAATTCGAATTCAGTCCCGAGAGGTTTTTTTGAGCGGGTGGGATGGGGTAGGGGTTCACATTTAGCGGCTTTCAGGCTGTGTGCAAACGACAAACGGTGCCGTATAGCAAAACGTGGCTCAGCTCAAGACAGAAAAAACGGACTAGGCGCTCAATCCTCCGAGGAGTATCCCAATTTATTTCGTGAACGGTGCACACGAGGGCCTCGTGGAGGTAGCTGCGCTGGCGGTGAGGTAGCACGTAAAGCCTGGAGGTGATTGGGCCGGGTATGGAATGCAAAAATGGCAGAGGACAATATATTAGTCCACGAAACGTGGTCTCCCAACCCCCCTCAAAAAAAAAAGGCGATGGGATTTGTCTAGTTTTATTCGTTTGTTCAATTTATAAGGCACCTGATCGCAAGAGACCCTGCAGGTATAAAGAACAAACTGCTTTTCTCGAGAGAAAGACTTTTTTTTGCATTTGTGGCCCATGCAAAATTTATTCTGCTGTATATTGCACAGCATGTTGTATTGCTTCAATCTAAAAAAAAAAGTTCTAAATCAGTGTTTTCCAACCTTGGTAACTTTAGGATGTGTGAACTTCAACTCCTAGAGTCCCATCCTGGCTTGGTTCCTACATTTTAAAGTTGTCAAAGTTGAAAAAAAGCTGTAAAGGATCTGCTGTCGAGTAGAATACGAAATTTTATTGGTTTGAAAGTAAGCTCTTAAGGCAATATAAGTAGAATAAGTAGAAATCTAGTTAAAGTTCTTTTTCTTTTCTTTTGGTTGTGTTATGATTACTGTAAATATACTGTAAATATTAATTTTTCTTTGGCTTTGTTTCTCATTGTTACCCTGACATGGCACTCTCTTTTCAATAAAGTATTTTTAAAAAGACGATCCTATATAGATGTTAATTGCAGGTGTCTCAAAAATGCAAGCAGTGTGATGTCTCCAACTTGCCAAAAAGCTGAAAGACTTCAGATAAAAGTAGAGCTTGCTTTCATGATGGTTTTATAGCCAAGCCAAATGATAGGACCTTGTATTTAGCTCTCAAATGCTATAATTTCTAAGTTTTCAATGAAACTAGAGAAGAGAAAGGGATTTAGCTAGGAAATTTATATTTGGAGGAAGATTTTTCCTCCGGTGGTGCTCAAATAAAGCATAGATGGGAAGCAATGCAAAAAGCTAACTTGAAAATATCATTCCATATCTAAAAGCTAACCAAGGATACATCTTAAATGTTATGAAGCCAAATCGTGATCAGGTTTGCTAATCCATCTTCATATGGTGTTAAATTATTGTACTTATTAAAGGAAGTGACCTATAATCTTTCACCATACTTGCTCTTTGAAAATGCTTTTCAATTTGTAGCACAAATGTTGCACAATCAGGCTTACTGTTATATGAAGATATCCTAATATTACATATTGTAACATATTTGAAATTCCCAGTTTCCATGGCAATAGCTGCCCAGATTATTTTAAAAAAATGCTGTATATAAGGCTGGAATCCCTATTATAATGAGTGTTTGCTGCAAAAATTCTTAGTGAGAGGAAGCACAAAAAAGTTCCTTGGAGTAAAAATTCCAATCTTAACGACAAACTCTAATCTGTCTTATACAAAGCTTCAAGTTCTTAAAATGTGCTCTAGTTTGTCTACTGTAAAATGCAGAAAAAGGAATGCTTATTGATCTGGGTTCCTATCAAAGCCAGGATATTTCCTATACTGTACCTCTACTGTCACATTAAACAGTAGAAATAAATAGGATGATGGATGTACATATGATGGATGTAAATACTAAACAAGAACCAAACTTCAGCCAATTAGGCCATTAGTAATATGTTTAGAATATTTAAGTTTCTTATAGTGCAGGACAGAAATGTGTTGGGATTATAACAGCTCTTTGTCCATTTTTATCATTACTCTCAATTTTTGGCAAAGCGATGTGATAGTTTGAATTATTTAATATCTAACATGAGATACGAAACTGTTTTGCAGTGATACCATGGAAGATAGAAAAACAGTGGATTCAGAATGTAAAACAACACATGTTCCTTCCAATGGTAGGTATTAAAACAATATGTTGTAAGGCGTCTTCCTAATTACTCTGTTGTGACTTTTACAGAAAGATACCAAAATCAATCTAAGTCCACTTGAAGGTAAAGAGAAACAGTTTGACAGATTCATGACAGGGTAGTTTCTTCCAGGTTGTCCTTTTCTGCACCCAGGACATGCCATTAAAACTATGATTGATCAGCCTACAAATTCTTACATCACCATCTGCTGGAAACCCAAAGCAAATGTCTGGTACAGATAGTCCCTGGCTTACAACAATTCATTTAGTGACTGTTCGAAGTTACAACGGCACTGGAAAAAGTGACAGGACCATTTTTCACACTTAATGGCTGTTGCAGCATCCCCATGGTCACATGACCAAAATTCAGATGTTTGGCAAGTGACTCACATTTATGAAGGTTGCAGTATCCCGGGGTCATGTCATCACCTTTTGCAACCTTCTGACAAGCAAAGTCAATGGGGAANAGAGGAAAAAGTACGCCACGCTAGGAGGAGACTCTATGGTGGGGGAACTGAACTTCTGGTTAGCTCCAGAATTGAACAGGGGGCTTCCGGTTAGGACCTTTGTGGCTCCCGGTGTTTTCTTTTCTGTGGGAAACGGGTCCAAATGGCTCTTTGAGTGTTTAAGTTTGCCGATCCCTGGGTTAGACCATATCAGTGTTTCACAACTTGGCAACTTTAAGAGGTGTAGAATTCTAGGAGTTGAAGTCTACATATACTTAAAAATGACAAGCTCAGAAATACTGGGCTACAGGATCATTGCTGGTCCTTCCAACCAGGGGTGGGTTGCTGTCGGTTTAACAACTGGTTCAATGAGCACGCGTGCTTCGCGCAAGCACACAGCGCTGAAAATGGAGCATTTAGAAGCTCAGCTGCTTACCTTCCAAGTCAGCAACGGTAAGTAAAACAGCTGGAGGGGAATCAGCTGAGCTGTGGGATTGAGATGAGCTAGAAAGCAGAAAATAAAGGGCAGGATAGAGCAGGGCAGGTGGGGGAGGCAACTGATCATCAGAGCGACCAGTTCTCTTGAACCGGTCTAAACCAGCTGAATACCACCTCTGCTTCCAACTCTACAGTAGTATGGTTTTAGGAAAGCAATGTTAAACTTTTCTTCCTGGTATTTATGGGTGTCTAATAACCACCCCTAACTTGTCATGTTCCAGATACCTTACACTACAATTCTCACGATCCTTAGTCAGCATGCATATTGACCATATTAAATGGATAATGAGATTCATAATTTTTTCAGTAGGTCATGAGATTTAAGAAGTCTGATGTCATGTGTTCTCAGCCTCTGTGAATAAATCTTGGGCAATAAATGGTGATCCTCTAGCAAAGAAACAATACTACAATAATCACATGTTTAAACATAACCTTTACCACAGGAACTCAGGCATTTTTTTTCTAATGCTAATTAATTCACCTTTCCAATCCTTCAGTATTATGGGCAAGTGTTACGTTCACGCTGCAGATAAAAGGCAAATGACAAGAACTTTCTAAATGCCAATGGTTAGGTAAATGGCAGGACTCCTGGAGTCCTTTCCTTTCCCATATTAGTTGAAGAACCTAAAAATGTCACTGCAGCATCTTTCTGCTTCTCAATGCCCTCCAGATAATGTGGGCTACAATACTTTGTTTTCTTTAATCAGGAGGGCCATTAGCCACCATGGCCAATAATTGCATGAGTTAAAGTTCACATCACTGGATCGCAGTCTTCTGAGCTAGAAATCCTGCTACACATTTAGCTATAAATTAAATAATATAAACCACTACATAGGGGTTCAGATTCCAGTTGTCCAGTTTTCTATTAGGGAGGAAGAACATAGCATTGTTGTTATCGACCCATTTTTTTTAACTACTGAATTTAGCCTGAGTAGAGGGCATAGTCTAGTTAATTCAGAATTAAATCCCAGAGTACAATGAGACTTGCAATCGGTGAAGTACATACAGGATGCATTTTACTAAATATTGAATTGGATCTACCACCTGCATAGTCCACCTACCACCTCAATTCTTTCCTAATGATCATGTCCATATTTTGGTGTCCGAAATTCAAGGCCATTCATGATGTTGAAAGACAACTCCAGATCAGCAACTTATTGACAAAACTCTTTTGAATACGACTTCTTGTTAGTGCAAAGTCGTGTCCGACTCATCACGACCCTAGGGACAATGGTCCTCCAGGCCTTCCTGTCAGGGGTAATAATTTGTAATTTAATAAATGTATATGCCGCCCAATCCCGTGGGACTCCGGGTGGCTTACAAATACGACAATAAAACAAAAAAATAAAAAAAATTAGGGAAAAGACAAGAACAGGTTTAAAAGGAACACAACATACACTCAACTTAGATGGGGGCTGCACCTTACTGAATTACTGCCGGTTCGGCACGGAAAAATTTGTGTGTCCACGGTCTCTCTTTGCACCTTAGAAGGTCTGTGCATGTGTACAATGTTAGAAAAGGGGGAAAAAATAAATTTCTGCAATGAAGATTGTTCTGTGCATGTGCAGAATCGAAAATCACGACAATGAAGATAGAACTGGCTCGGGGGTGTGGCAGGCCAAGTTACTACCTACTCGGCCAAACCAGTAGGAACCCACCTCTGCTTTCTATCCTCTACCATCCTCTGGAGTCCATTTAATCTCACGCCAATTGCTTCGATGACTCCATCCAGCCACCTCATTCTCTGTCGTCCCCTCCTT